TCCTGTTCTCAAAATTCAGTGTCCTGGTGTGAAGGATTCGTCGATTCTTAGGCTAGAAGGGAGCCGCGTGATCATCTGGGCCAAATCCTCTCGGCTCCTGCGTGATATTCCCCCAGCACTGTAGCTTTCGGGGCACAGAGTCTCCCCGGGAACTTGGGGTCACCTGATGAGCCGCTATTTAATTCCAGTCCCGAAGAGGTTAAATCTGAGCTTTCCCCTTTTCCCGCCTGCCCCCCCCCCCGTGCTGATGGTTCCGACTGGATTTTCTGCTTGCGTGTCACGGGATCCCGCAGGGAAGAGGTCTGCCAGGACCAGCCAGGGAGTGACTGAGGTCGCTTTCTTCCACTGATTCGATCCGGCAGCAGAGTCGTCATTGCATTTACACTGCATCCTGTCTTGTGATTCCACTTGGGAGGGGAAGGGAGAAGCCCCAAAGCCCACTCCCTATGCCAGCTGAGGCCAGATCGGAGCTGGCACCATCCTGGGGCAGACGTAGGGTTGCCAACCCTCCCAGATTAGCCAGGAGTCTCCTAGAATCAGCCTCGATCTCCCAGAGGCTACTGAACCCAATCCGAGAGATTTTTGGCCGCTAAAAGTCGAGTGGCGCAGCGGGCCTAAGGCAGGTTCGCTACCTGCCTGCCCTGGCTCCGTGCAGCTCCTGGAAGCAGCTGGCACCTCCAGCTCCTAGGTGCAGGGGAAGCCAGGGGGTCTCTGCGCACTGCCCCCACCCTGAGCGCTGGCTCCACAGCTCCCATTGGCTGGGAACCAGCAGGCAGAGGCAGCATGCAGAACTACCTGGATGCCCCCGAGCCTAGGAGCTGGACATGCCGATCCCTTCTGGGAGCCCCCCCGAAGTAAGCACTGCCCAGAGCCTGCACCCCAAGCCTCTTCCTGCACCCCAACCCCCTGCCCCAGCCCAGAGCCCCCTCCCACACCCAAAGTCCCTCCCAGAGCCAGCTCCCTGCATCCCATCCTGCACCCCAAACCTCTACCCTTCCCAGGCTGAGCCCAGAGCCCCCTCCCACACTCCCAACTCCTCGGCCCCCCCCACAGCCCAGAGCCCACACCCAACCCCCTGCCCCAGCCCTGAGCCCCCCCTGCACCGAAACTCCCTCCCGGAGCCTGCAACCCAAACCCCCTCCTGCACCCCAACCCACTGCCCTGGCCCGGTGAAACTGAATGAGGGTGGGGGAGAGCGGGGGATGAAATAAATGGGGGGCGTGGCCTCATGGAAAGGGCGGGGCAAGGGTTTTGGGGTTTGTGCAATTAGACAGTTGGCAACTCTAGGCAGATGGGAGGACTCCCTGTGCTGCACGTAGGGGAGTAGGCAGTGAAGTAAATTACCTGCGCAGTAGATATGCCAGTACCTGGGCCAGATCCACATCTTCGTCCTCCTCCTCCTCCTCCTCACTCCGCAGGATCCTGGAGCCCCTCTGGGGCCTGCCGTCCTGGGGGTCCCGGCCCCCAGAGCTGGCACTGCTGCTGCTACGGGAGCCCATGCTTATGGCATTGTCTGGAACTAGGCTCAGGGGTTCGCTGTGTTGGCTCCTCTCCCACTCCCCCCACAGCCAATCAGGAACAAGAAGCTCCCTGAAAGGAAAACCTTTAGCCACAAATCAGAGGCCTTCAGACTCAGGAGGCAGGACTGCCTCCATTCAATATACCTCAGCAACCTACCAATCACAGCCCTTTATACTCAGGGAAGGGTATGGTCCCCACTCAATATACCACAGCCACCCACCAATCACAGCTCTTTATACTCAGGGGACGGTATGGTCCCCATGCAATATACCACAACCACCCACCAATCAGAGCCCTTCAGACTCAGGGGGCAGTACTGTCCTCCTCAATATACCACAGCCACCCACCAATCACAGCCCTTCAGACTCAGAGGCCCATTGTGCTACATACTGCAGCTGCCCACCAATCAGATCTGTACATTCAGTGCCCCCTCCCTTCCCCACCAATCAGAGGAGCCTGTGCTCAAGAGACACACTTGCTCCCCTCAATATAGCACAGGAACCCACCAATGACATGTTAGCAGCCATCCACCAATCAGAGCACCTTATACTCAGGGGGCACTCTTGCTCCCCTCAGTGTGCCACCCACCAATCACAGGGGCCTGTTGACTGCACAACCAACCACAGCCTCGATTCTTGCTCCCTCTCATATGCCAGACTCTAATCCACTAATCAGCTCCTTCTACCCCCTGCACCAACCAGGGGGCTTCTTACGGTCAAGAGAGCCACCCACCAATCAGAGCGCCATTCCCCCAGGCCCATCAATCAGAACGTCCCATACTTAGGGCGACACTTGCTACCCCAGTCCACAACCCAGCTCCCTTCCCCCCCTCACCAATCAAAACCCACCTGACTCCCCCAACAACCTCCTCCCCCTCCCCTGCGAGCCGGCCGTGGCCAATCAGAAACCACTCCAAACTCTCTCCCCTCCCTTCCCCTAACCGCGAGACCTTCCTCACCCTCTAACGGCCGCAGCGCGAAACCTTGTTTACATCTTTGGAACTGCAGCCGCCTCTAACGGAACAAGAGAGGGGGAGGGACAAGCCCGGCGCCCTCTGATTGGCTCCTCCTCTGAACATCACGTAGGGTAGAGGGCATTGTAGAAAATTCGGACACGTTGATTGGCCCTCCGCCTTCGCGACAGGGGAGGCGGGGATTTGAAGTACAGGCCAGTTCGCTGATTGGGTTGAGAGTGACAGCTTTGGAAGAGGCGGGTCTATGGTGATGCACGGGCTCTCTGATTGGACAGTTACCATATGAATGGCACTCGAAACGGGGAAGTGGGACAGTGGGTATTTGGTTAGCATGGAGTGATTGATAGCCTTAAAAATAGCCCTCGCTCTCTGATTGGATAATAGTGACAGATAGCGTAATAATTACTCCTTTAAAAGAAGGCGTCGGCTCTCCTGATTGGACATTAAAAAAGATTGACAGGCCATGTGGTAGGCAGGCTCCCAAGGGACACTGATTCTCTGACTTGACAAGGGCTTGGTTGAGAGCACAGATTGGGAGGCGAGCAGTGAGAGCGAACCAGCTCCCTGATTGGACAATGGATCGGTGATTGACGGGACAGTAGGCGGGCCTGAGAGAATCCTGGCTCCCCGCCCGAATAGATGGTGTTTTACGATTGACGGACACCAGGGGGCTCCACAGCTCCTGATTGGCTGGGGGAAGATCTATAAACCATCAAATGGGGAGCCCCGCCCCGCCCTGTCTGGCGTCACTTTATACCCGGCCCCTAACGCCCCCCGCCCCGCCCCCTTCCCGCGTCACTTTATACCCGGCCCCTAACGCCCCCCGCCCCGCCCCCTCCCCGCGTCACGTTCTACCTGGCCCCTAACGCCCCCTGCCCCCTCCCTGCGTCACTTTATACCCGGCCCCTAACGCCCCTCAACCCACCCCCATCCCATAACACTTTATACCCGGCCTCTAACGCCCCTCAACCCACCCCCATCCCATGACACTTTATACCCGGCCCCTAACGCCCCTCAGCCCACCCCCATCCCATGACACTTTATACCCGGCCCCTAACGCCCCTCAACCCACCCCCATCCCATGACACTTTATACCTGGCCCCTAACGCCCCTCAACCCACCCCCATCCCATGACACTTTATACCTGGCCCCTAACGCCCCACCCCTCCATAACGGCAGCCTTTGCGCCCCCCGCATTGCCCCACCCCGCCGCTCACCGGTCTCTGCACTTATCCCGACCCCAGGTCAGGATGAACCAAAGGGGCCGCGTGGCCACCGCTGGCCCAGGGAGCAGTTGGGGTCCCCTCCCTCTCTACCCCGTTCCCCACTCCAGTCACCAGCCACGGTCCTTCAGATCCTTTTATTGTTTGACACTCATGTCTCGTTAACAGGGATTAGTAACAAAAGCCCATTGTGTAGTACCGAGAGCCCCAGCGCTGAACCCCCCGTCGCTTCCGCTCCCGCCCCCACTTCGGCCCAGCCTGCGCCCGGGAAATACCAGCCATCGTCCGCCCCGGCTCACCCCCCTTCCCTGTCTCCATCAACCCCCTTCGCCCAGCCGGGCCAGGGTCGGGGGGGTCACCGGGAGCCGTCCCGCCCTGCATTGAAGGCAAAATCTTCCTGAGGGTCCGTTAGAGGGGCAGGCCCCGGGACAAGCGCTGGAAAGGAAGAAGAGGGGTGGGGGTTGCTGAGCTCACCTCAGCTTGACGGCAAGAGCCCACCGGGAGGGAGGGCTGGTGCGGCTGGAAGAACCGATTGAGGATTTGGGGGGAAGACGGGGGCTTGGGGGGGTTCCGGTTTGAGGTGGGACTCAGGGCTTAAAGAGAAAGGGACGGGGTGTCCTGGTGTGGTTAGATGATGGGTCGGCAGAGTTGAGAATTTGGCCGGCATCCCACCGGGGGAGGGGCGTTGAGCACTGGGGTGAGGATGGGTGGTGATGGAGAAGTCTAGCATATCCTGAGTTGATTTATTGTTAATACTGCTTAGGAACTGGGCTTGGGCTGAGTTACGGGTGGCAAACAGTCAGTGCGGTTGAGAGATCCAGCCACGGACGGTGGTTCCTTTTTAGTGTTGCAACGGGGGCACAGATCATGGTTAAAATAAGCCTTACCGTCAGAGCTAAGCCTGGAGGACGCTAGGTTTGCATTCATGTGCTGATGTTGGGTTTAAGGAGGACAGGGTTGGCGGTAGATGCCGAGGCCCCGGTTTGTGTGAAGAGCTGGACCCGATGGCGACACCCAGCTGGGTCGTTCCAACCTCACAAGTGATTATATTAAAATCAGGCTGGAAGGAAGGTCAACCTTTCAAGGGGACAAGATGGCTGACTCATGGGCACGGAAACAAGATGGCAGAACCATGGTCAAGAGGAGAAAAATGGGCAGCCCACATCCAGGAACCAAGATGGTGGACATCGTCAAGGAAACAAAATGGCCAATCCGTGTCAAGGAAACAAGAAGGCCGTCCCATGTCAGTTGAAGAAGATGGCAGAACCACAGTCAAGAAAAGAAAATGGCCAACCCACATTGAGGGAAGAAAATGGTGGAACCATGATTAAGGGAACAAAATGGCTGACTCCTCAAGCAAACAAGATAGTGGAACCACGGTCAAGAGAAGAAGACTGCCAACCCACGTCAAGGGAAGACGACAGCTGACTTGCAGCAAGGCACTGAGATGGCGGCGGCGTTGGGCATTGGGCAAGGCGGGGGAATGCTATGTAAACAAACTCCACGAGGGCCGTGTCTTTGGTGGGCCGCCTCCCTGCCCCCCCTCACATCTTCTTCACCCGGCTCTCCAGCCCCTCGAGTTCCCTCATCACCTCCCGGGGCAGGTCGTCGTTGACCTGCTCGGTCAGGTACTTGCGCACCTCCAGCGCCTCCTGCTCCCAGAAGGCCTTGGGCAGGGAGAAGAGCTCTTGGAAGTCCACCTTGGCCAAGCCCTGGAGGTCAAGGGCCCCTTCCCGGGGCACATAGCCGATGGGCGTCTCCCACGCGCTCTCCTCCCCTTCCACCCGCCGGAAGATCCAGTCCAGCACCCGCGAGTTCTCCCCGAAGCCTGGCCACAGGAAGTTGCCGGCCGCGTCCTTGCGGAACCAGTTGACGTGGAAGATCTTGGGGAGATGGACCCCGCGCCGCTCCTCCATGCCCAGCCAGTGCTCCAAGTAGCGCCCAAAATTGTACCCGAAGAAGGGGCGCATGGCGAAGGGGTCGTGCATGATCACCTTGCCTGGAGGGGGGGGTGGAGAAGCAGGGAGGGTAGGTCAGCCAGGGAGTTATGGGTAACCGGGGATTGTGGGATTGCAACACAAAGGACTGTGGGTAAGTGGGGGTGGCGGGAATCTGCCACAAAGGACTGCGGGTAATCAGGGAGAGTGGGAGGGCAGCGCAAAGGACTGTGGGTAAAACAGGGGAGGCCATTGCAAAGGACTGTGGGTAAATCAGGCATTGTGGGAATCTACCACATTGGACTGTGAGTATTCAGCAAGAGTGGGATTCTGGGGCAATGGATTGTGGGGGATTTGGCACTGCAGGACTCCAGCGCAAAGGACTGTGGATAGCCTGCCATTGCTGGACAGTGGCCCAGTGGACTGTGGGTAATGGGGAGACACTGGGATGGTGCAATGGGCAACCCCCGCAGGGAGCCCCGGAGCTCCTGTTTCCCAGGGAGGGGGGTAAAGGAGCACGGGACCCAGGCGTCCGGGGGCCTTTACCTTTGTGTTCGGCAGCCGCGGTGGACTCGGACCTCATGGCGCTGCCCACGAAGACGCCGTGCCGCCAGTTGAAGGCTTCGTAAACCAGGGGCACCCCTGGGGAGAGGGAGAGAGCGGTGTGAGCCCGCTGAGGGACCCAGGAGTCCAAGGGGAGGCAAGAAAGGTGGGCGGGGGGGGTTACCTTGGGGTCTCCTCCCGCCGAAGATGATGGCGTCAATGGGGACGCCCTCGGGGGACTCCCAGGCCGGGTCCATGATGGGGCACTGGCGGGCCGGGGCGCAGAACCGGGAGTTGGGATGGGCGCACGGCTCCTTGGCACCTGGCGCAGAGAGAGACGTTAGGGGGCGCCGTGGGGAGGGGCCGGCAAGGGGCACCTCCCCGCGGGCAGTGGGGGGAGGGGGAAATGGCCGTGGCCCTACCCGGCTCCCAGGGCCGCCCCAGCCAGCTGGTGACGGAGGTGCCGGGGGGCAGGACCTGGTCGATGCCCTCCCAGTAGACGCCCCCCTCGCTGGTCTCGCCCACGTTGGTGAAGAGGGTGTTGCGCTGTATCGTGTGCATGGCGTTGGGGTTGGTCTTCATGGAGGTGCCCGGTGCCACCCCGAAGAACCCGTTCTCAGGGTTGATCGCCCGCAGCCGGCCTGGGGGAGAGGAGAGGGGGTTAGCTGGGGATCCTCCCTGAGGGACCCCCCCATCACCACACTGGATCCCCCAGACACCCTCTCTCCAGACGAGCTTCCCCCTCCCCAGCCCTTCACCTTGGGGTTTCCCCCACATCCCCCCTGTGCCCCATCCCAGATCTGCTGCCCCCATCCTCGGTGTGTCCCCCCAACACCTCCCTTTTGCCCCCCCCGATCTCACCCTCGCTGTCAAACTTCATCCAGGCGATGTCGTCCCCGACGCACTCCACCCGCCAGCCCGCCAGCGTGGGGTTCATCATGGCCAGGTTGGTTTTCCCGCAGGCACTGGGGAACGCGGCTGCCACATACTTCTTCCGCCCCTCGGGGTTGGTGATGCCCAGGATCTGGGGGGGGGCCCCAGGGTGAGTGGGAACATTAGGGGCTCAGGTGGGCTCCCCGCACTCCACCAGGGAGAGCACAGGGGCAGCAGAGAGCAGGAAACCACCCACAATTCTTTGCAATGTGGACTTGGGCTACCATTACCCACAGTGCTTTGCAACACAATCTTGGGCTACCCAGCAACCCCCAATCCTTTGCAACAAAGCCCAGCTGCTCCAAATTTACCCACAATCCTTTGCAACACACTCTCCAATTACCCACAGTCCTCGGCACAGTAGCCCTACTGCGGCCAATTACCTACAATCCTTGGTGCCTGAATCATTCTGGCCCACCATCTTTTGCAACAGGCTCTTGCTCCCCCAAACTACCCATCATCCTTTGCACCAGACTCCCATTCTCCCTGGTGACCCACAATCCTTTGTGGTCATGTGCTGGGCACTCAGATTACCCACCGTGCTTTGCAACTGAGGCTGGCTCCTGTCAGCCTCCCACAAGCCTTTGCACCCGCCTCCTGCGTGAGCCAATTCCCCTCTGACCCCCTGCTCAGGGCCAGTGCCCCCGGGGGTTGAACTGGGAGGCCCTTTGCCCGCCCCATTGGCGTCAGACACAGCCCCATTCACCTGGGATGTCAACAGGGCCTGGGCATTTATTAACTAATATTTGCTCGTTAAATATCCGGGGAGCGAAGGTGTAAACACAGAGTGGCCTTTGGTCCCGGCCTGCCAGGCTCAGACCCCAGGAGTCCTGGCTCCCAGCCCCTCCCCTCCCAAAGCCATGGAGAGAACCCAGGAGTCCTGGCTCCCAGCCCCTCCCCTCCCAAAGCCATGGAGAGAACCCAGGAGTCCTGGCTCCCAGGCCCTCCAGCTCTACCCACTCAACTCCACCTGAGCTGGGGAAAGGAACCCAGGCGTCCGGGCCCCGCCCCTCACCAGCATGTGTTCGGCCAGCCACCCCTCGTCCTTGGCGATGCGGGAAGCAATGCGCAGGGCGAAGCATTTCTTCCCCAGCAGCGAGTTCCCACCATAGCCGCTGCCGAAGGAGACGATCTCCCGCCTGTCGGGGACGTGGGCGATCAGGGTCTTCTCGGGGTTGCAGGGCCAGTTGTTCACCAGGTCCTCTGGGGGGTGGGGCGCAGAGATGGAGGATTAGGGGGTGAAGGTGTCTGGGGTATCGTCCCACTGCTCGCACCAGCAATTGGGGGGTTGGTACGGGAGGGTTACCCCACCGCGCCCACCAATGTCAGGGGCTGTATATGCATCTCTGCAGGCATTAGCCCAGCCCCCAACATGGTGGGTGACGTGGGATATGTGTGTCTCTCTGTGGGGGGCCTTATCCCACCTTGCCCACCAATGCACCCACCAATGTTGGGGGCCAAGCTATGTGTCTCTCTGGGGCATTACCCCCCCCACCCACCCATGGGACGGATTGGGCTGTGTGTGCCCAGGGGAGTTATCCCATTGCACCCACCAACAGCCCAGGACTCACCTTCCAGGGGCAGGGGGCGCCCCACGGAGTGGAGGCACTTGACAAACTCCCCCTCGCCCAGGGCACGGAGGACGGGGGCCCCCATCCGGGTCATGATCCGCATGCTGGCCACCACGTAGGGGGAGTCCGTCAGCTGCACACCGATCTTCGAGAGTGGGGAGCCAATGGGGCCCATGCTGTAGGGGATGATGTACATGGTGCGGCCTGGAGGGGGAGACAGAGCGATGGGCATAGGCGTATGGGGGCCCATTTCCCACCCCCCAGTGCCCCCTAAAGGGGAAGGGCCCGTCACCTTTCATGCAGCCGGGGAACCGGCCGTCCACGGCCTCCTGGAAGGCTTTGGGGCTCATCCAGTTGCCCAGCTGCCCCTTGGCACCCCCGGCGGGGATGGGCACCGTGTCTCGCTGGTTCTCCGTCACGATCACTGTCTTGCTCTCCACCCGCGCCACGTCCTTGGGGTCCGTCCGGGCCAGCCAGCTGGGCGGGGAAAGAGCCAGGGAGTCATTCCACCCTCAGCACCCCCTCCTCCAGGGACCCAGGCGTCCGGGACAGCGGGGAGATCGGGATGGGGAATGGGACCCAGGTGTCCGGGACGGCAGGGAGATTGGGATGGGGAATGGGACCCAGGCGTCCGGGACGGAGCTGCAGCCCCTGTGGGGGGAGATCGGGATGGGGAACGGGACCCAGGCGTCCGGGATGGCGGGAGATCGGGATGGGGAAGGGGACCCAGGTGTCCAGGACGGTGCCACAGCCCCTGGGCGGGGAGGGATCGGGACGGGGAATGGGACCCAGGTGTCCGGGATGGCGGGGAGATCAGGATGGGGAATGGGTCCCAAACGTCCGGGACGGTGCCGCAGCCCCCGGGCGTGGAGGGATCGGGATGGGGAAGGGGACCCAGGCGTCCAGGACAGGGCCGCAGACCCTGGGCAGGGAGGGATAAGGACGGGGAACTGGACCCAGGCGTCCGGGATGGCGCCACAGCCCCCAGAGGGAGGATCTTAGGATAGCCAAGAGCCTATTGCAAAGGACTGTGGGTAACTGGGGAGAGCAGGACAAGGGATAGTGGGTAATTTGGCCCCACCAGTGCAAAGGACTGTGGGTAAATTGGCACAGCGGGAACCTACTGCAGAGGATTGTGGGCAATTTGCAAGAGCAGGAGCAGAGGCTTGTGGGTAGTTTGTAGGAGCGGGACAGTGATGCAAAGGACTGTGGGTAGTTTGGCTTGAATGGTGAGGAGGGGAATGGACCGATACGGGGCAGGGGACCCAGGCGTCCGGGAGGCACCTACCAGTTCTCATATTTGTCCAGCTGTTTGATGACGCCCTCATCCTCCAGTAGCCCTAGGATGGCCCCGTTCTCAGCCTCGGAGCCGTCGCAGACGTGAACGTTTCCGGGCTGGCACAGCTGCACCCCGTGCTCCACGAACGGCCGCAGCCGGCCTGGGAGCCGGCCCAGGTCCCCGCTCGGCACCCGCAGGGCATGGGCTGACCGGACCGGTGCCCCCCACCAGCACCGCAGGGAGCGGGCACCCTGCCTGCAACGAGGAGAGGGGGTGAGGACAGGCTGGGGCCAGATCTTCCACAAGAGCGTGTGAGCTCGCACAAGCCTCTCTGGGTATGCGCCAGAGCATGTGGGCTTGCAATGAAGTGTGCACACGTGCTCACACTCCCACGTGGCAGAGCCCACATGAGAGTGTGCGCGCTTGCACACAGGTTCCCGAGCGGGCGCTGCGGGGATAGAAACATGCAGAAGGCTGCCCGGCCACGCACTGGGGTGGAAACGCTTCTGCCAGCATGGCTTAGTGTGCACAAGACTGCGTGAGCTTGCACAAGCATTTGTGAGTGTGCGCAAAGGCTTGTGTACTTGCATAAACTCACATGAGCGTGGACAAGAATGTACGTGTTTGCACAAGTGTATCAGAGCATGCAGAGGACTGCATGAGCTTGCACAAGCATTTGAGTGTGCACAAAAGCCTGTGTGCTCGCCTGAGCGTGCATGAGAATGCACACATTTACACAAGTGGGATAGAGCATGCACAAGAGTGCATAGATTTTCACAAGAGTGCATGTGTTTACATGTGCTTTCATAAGCACTCCTGGCGGTGCCTGATGTGAAATAATCGTGCAAATGCGTCGCAGAGCAAAGAGGCTGCTGGGAGCACTCCGAGCTGGATACAGATTTCCACAACGCTCGTGATGCCGGGATATGCTGTGGTGACTCTGTGGCGAGCATGCCGACGCATGTTCGAAGCACAGAAGCCCCCAGGCGTTTGCACGAGGATCTGCGAGTGTGCGAGGAGAGCAACCATGTTTGTGCGAGGGCATCAGTGCCGTGTCAGACCCCACACGCTTGTGACGCATGTCAGAGCGTGCAGAGGCAGCCCCCACCCCACCAGGTGGGAGGGGACCTCTGCTAGACTAGACCAAACCTGCCCCCTGCCCAGCACTCCCCCATGCCCCTCACACGAGGGCGTGTGCCCCACAGCCGCCTCTGATTGGCAGGCTGCCTGGAGCGGGGGTGGGGGCAGCTGGCAGGGCAAAGAGCAAGAGGCAAGACACGTTGCCTGGACTTTCACCTGGTGGCCGCTGGGGATTCTGGGTAGGGAGATCAGGGGGGCGGGGGAGTACAGGGGCAGCCCCCCAGAGGGGGATCGGCCAGGACGTGCTGTCCCCAGCGCTGACCCTGGGGACACTTGCCCAATCAGGGGTGGATCCCAGCCAGAGAAAAGCGGCTGCCTCTGGGGTGGGGCACAGCCACACATAACGCAGCAGCCCCCTCCCCAGGGCGGGGAGAGCGCCCCCTGCTGCGGGCTGCGGGCCGGGAGTGAGGGGCACCCCTCGGTCTCCCGTCCAAGCTCCTGCCCGGCCCTGACCCTGCTGAGCGGAAAAACAAAGCACCACGGAGCCGCTTTGGGCCAGTCCCGGCGGGGCGGGGGGCGGAGCCGGGGGAGGGGCAGGTGACGTGGAGGCAACACAAGGAAGTGAGGGCCTGAGCCCTGAGAAACACAACACACGATTCCCCCCCCCCCGCAAGCTGCCAGGGCCCCTCACTCCCGACCTGCAGCCCCCCCCAGCCCTGCCAGGGCCCCTCACTCCCGACCTGCAGCCCCCCGCCAGCCCAGCTCTGGGCCCCCATAGAGCGGGCACTGAAGGGAAAGGAAAAGGGAATGAATGAAGATGGGGCAGAGGAATGGGGGTTCAGGGGCACATAGGGGTGCAGGACGGGGGTTCGGGGTACAGAGGGGGTGCAGGAGGATGAAGGTCCGGGGGCACATAGGGGTGCAAGACCGGGGTACATGGGTGCAGGAGGACGGGGGTTCGGAGGCACAGAAGGGTGCAGGACCGGGGTACATAGGGGGTGCAGGAGAACGGGGGTTCGGGGTACATAGAGGTGCAGGACGACGGGGGTTCGGGGGCACATAGGGGTGCAGGAGAACGGGGGTTCGGGGGTACATAGAGGTGCAGGAGAACGGGGGTTCGGGGGCACATACGGGTGCAGGACCGGGGTACATAGGG